ATGTGATTCCTTTCTGGTTCTCTCTTCTCAGAGAACTTGGCATCCATCCGATTCATTTGGAGAAGTTTGGTAAAGGTTACTTTATGCTTAGACAGAAGAAAAAGCCTAAGGCCTTGAACTGAGCCTTATCCTCTGATACGGTTTACTGGGATTCCCCCGACTGTGGTACAAGCCCTGCCATAACTGTGATGGTCTCTGCCTTGTCAGTTTCATCTGTGTATGTATCTTGTACAGTAACCAGCACATCCACCAGAGAACCTCGGTTATCGGCAGAGTGAGACTTGGGAATTCTCTGGTCCTCTGGCCAGACATTACCAGTTAGTACTCTAATTCCACCATTTCTGAAATTATACACAACACATTTTAGGTACTGTTTATTTTGTAGAGTTCAGCTTCAAGGAAATGAAGATTATTACTCGGTACTATTTCTGTGTTTTTCTGATTTAAACATAACATAGTTTTCTTATTTTAAAAAGTGTGGAAGCCAGAAATCAGTGGAGCAACAATATTTTCCCCAAAACAAAGAGCCCAAACTTCGGCGGGAGTTCCAGACCTGGCAGGCGGTGGTGGCTCCTGTATCAGAAAGAGTCCTTTACGTTGTGACGGGCAGTAGTTTTCAGTTTATGTCTTTCTTTTGGCTGCCAGAGGGATTGAACGTTGTGAATTCATTGGCATAGTCCCAAGAAGATTTACCTGACAGGCAGGCAACCTGCTGATTTGGGGGCAGTTATCAGTCACTCTCACTAGCAGAGACCTGTAATACTGCAGTCAGAGCTGTTGAGTTGTAAAATTCTGACTTGCCAACCAATAGGACATTATTTATAAGGCGAAACTTAGACCTCAGAGGCTACAGGCATTCAGGCTGTTTTCTGACCCATCTATTGGTGGCAAATGTTAAGGGATTTTGCCCCATTAGCACTTTTTTCTCAGAATGGTGCTCTGAACAGAAGAATCTCCTCTAACAATTTAAGACCATTCACTGGATAAGCATGTAACTCATCAAACTCAGTGACACATTTTCACAACTCTGCATTGAATTGGCCCGGAGGATTCACTCACACTGTTAACTCCCCCCCTCCACCTTTACTGAAAGTTTTACCCAAACTGTCAGTTGACAGAGGAACTCTGCAGGAACACATACCAAGACGTTTAACACACGCGCCTTAGTTACAACAGCACCTGCCAGGAGAACATCTTACCTCCTTGACTGATGAGAGCTCACGGAGCGCAGTGAGGTGTGACCAGCCATTAAGAAGCACTAGGGGCGGGGCGCGGTGGCTCACGCCTATAATCCCGGCACTTTGGGAGGCCGAGGCGGGTGGATCATGAGGTCAAGAAATCGAGACCATCCTGGTCAACGTGATGAAACTCAATCTCTACTAAAAATACAAAAATTATCTGGGCACGGCGGTGCGCGCCTGTAGTCCCAGCTACTCGGGAGGCTGAGGCAGGAGAATTGCTTGAACACAGGAGGCAGAGGTTGCGGTGAGCCGAGATCGTGCCATTGCACTCCAGTTTGGGTAACAACAGGAAAACTCCGTCTAAAAAAAAAAAAAGCACTAGTAAGGCTTCTTTCCTTAATGTACCTGAGTCAGGCTGAGGGAAGAGAAGAATTAGGAGCACAAAGGGAGCAGGCACACAGCAGGAAGCACACTCTGCAATTGCTTTTGGTTTTAAAAGGCTGTTCATTCGGTTTTTGGCAGCTTTTTGCAGCTTTTTTTTTTTTTTAAGAGGGAGTCGCCCTGGCTGGAATGCAGTGGTGCACTCAGCTCACTGCAGCCTCTGCTGCTTGGGTTCAAGCAATTCTCCTACCTCAGTCTCCCAAGTAGCTGAGATTACAGGCTCCCTCCACAATGCCTGGCTAACTTTTCTATTTTTCATAGAGACGAGGTTTCACCTTGTTGGCCAGGCTAATCTTGAACCCCTGACCACAGGTTATCCACCTGCCTCAGCCTCCCAAACTGTTGGGATTACAGGTATGAGCCACCATGCCCAAACTGTCCATTCAGTTTCAATGAACTTTAAACAACAAAAAATGCCATTTGGGTGGCTGCTTTCAGCCCTCCCTCATCAATGCTCAGCCTCTAAATGGGATATAGGAGAACCATCACTCTCCCTCACACCTGCTACTTGTGGGAGAGCATCTGCTACCAGATCCTGGAGGCCCTTCTCAAAACTGCTAACCTGGCCCCACATGGTTCTTTCTGTCCTTTCTCCAAGAAAGCATTGTGACCTTACCGGCCCCATGCTGGGCATCAAAGCTGTGAATGGCTCACACCTGGACTTACGCACACAGCATCAGTGATGGGGGAGATCTATGCGTAAGAAAGCTTAGCATGCTGTCCGCTGCCCACATCCGTAATTCCACAGCATGACACCAAACTGGGGTTACTAGATGACAACCCAAGTGGTGGGCTGCTCTGTCAAGAAGGGGCCACTTTTATGTTGCAGTCAGGCAGTGACAGTCTATGGCTGTACCCTGAGGGGATCGGGGCAGGATGGAAATTTCTACAGCTTACCAGAACCAGATGAGAAACTGTCTACTGGTAGCTTGCCGCGAGACAAGGAGGCCCCACAAGAGATGAGTGAGAAATAGTCTTATGATAACGCTTCACAAGACGACCTGTGTCACCACAGTCCAGAGTGCATCTGGTCAGGGTTTCAGTCACAGTATAAAATTCAAGCAAAGCCGTTCTCTTGTACCTCGAACCTTGAAGGGAGCTTGGTTGGATATAATATCCTTAATTTGCACTGTCTTTTTTTAATGAATACATTACATGTTTATTTACATTTAAAGGAGCCTCTCTCCCTCCTTGTGTTCTAGTCTGTGAATGGCTCACACTTGGACTTTGTGTAGGCTTCTAGTGGCAGGAACAGGGGTGGCAAAAATCCTCATCAAATGGAAAATCATAACCCAAACCTCCAGAGGTTTCATGATTTTGCTCTTGATTCTGAAAACATAGTCATCTCTTATCGGGTGTTATTTGCTTTCTATCTTGACATTTTCCACTTGCCGCTTCTTGGTGTGAGGGGAGAAATGCCAGCATGTGGCAATGCAGAAGACTAGTGGAAGCCACAGGGCGAGGCCTTCACTTCCCAGTGACACTGTTCCCAGTTCCCTCCAGCATGAGCTGAGGCTCCTCAGGCTGTGGCTGTGCAGCAGACGGAGTGTGAGAAAACCCTGCTGTGCCCTGGGCACCCAGGATGGCACTGAGCTCTAAAAGGCAAAGGGCATGTGGCGAGGGGCCAGGCTGAGGACCTGATGTGGTACGTTTGTGAGCAGTGGCACATTTGAGGCTGGGTAAGAGAGACCTGCAGGGCCTGGCCCCCAGAACACCAGCAGATCAGCTGGGGCAGAGAGTCCAGTGTAACCAGGAAGGCTGGAGATCCTAACAGTGGCTGCTGATTTGGCACCAAACGTGTGGCATCGTCAAAGCCGTAATTGCTGAGAATGGCACCAACACGCTGCTGCTGGAGAGAGTGGGTGACCAACATTTGGAGTTGCATTGTTGTTTGGGGTAAATAGCCAAGGTTCCTTGCCTCACACCAAGGGAATTGAGGACTTGGACACACAAGAAGTGGGTTTAGGATCGAAGGTTTAACAGGCAAAAGAAAGAGAAAGGAGAATAGCTCCCTCTCCTGAGACAGAGAGGAGTGTCCCAGCGGGACTTCTGGTTTTGGGGTGAAGGGCACAGGGTTTTGTAGATGGCCTGAGGAGGCAGTGTCTGATTTACCTAGGCCCAAAGATTGGTGGGACCAGGTGTTACATTTACATAGGCTGGAAGAAGCTGGCCACCTCACCCTAACCTGCTTATGATGCCAGTAGGGTTTCTATGTGACCCTCAGCATGTGGTCGGCAAGGAAAAGGGGAGATGCAGCCGCCATGGTGAGCGCCTCCCCCCAGGTAGCCTTTCCCTATTGACACAGCCGCCGGCGTTCACCAGGGCAAGCTTGGTTATCTGTGTCTGCCGCTTGATTTTATAGGCTGCTCGTTGTTAGAAAAGAAATGATTTGGGACCGCTTTTGATCAAAAGGGAAACCTTTCCTAGGACTTCCTTACCCTACCTGCCTTTTTAACTCCTGTATCAATTTGTTTGAAGAACAGGTGACACTTTGAATGGCTCAGCCCATAGCCCAGAATTTCAAGGGAAGACCTCTCTGCTAGCTTCTCTTGGACAACGTCTCCCGTAAAACCTCGGAGGCACTTAAATAGCATGTTATTGTGTCCACTCTCCTGCTAGTCGGTTGTACTTCTGCCGGCCTGGTAAGTGTGGGCTATCTCTGGCACCAGAGGGTCATCGAGGTTGGGGGTGCAGAGCAGTGAGCAGATGGACAAGAGAACTTTTGACACAGTCAATGCTGGAGACCACTGAGACCACAGACTGTCATGGCAGATGCTGCCATTACTGTTGACACTGGGGTGAGGAAATCTGGCTGTGAAAGCAACCTTTGGGGGCTTGAATCCATAGGCAAGTGGATGGTCAGGAAGAAAACTCCTCCTTGGTAAGGACAGTCACTAATTATCACCCACAGGCCCCATGGAACACTGGGCGGGAGGATCCCTCTGCCAAGTCTGTTAATTCCTTCTGGATCTGCTTTAGTGCCCACCTACCCCCCTACTGGGGGCTGTGGTGGCCCAGCCACACTGCACTTCCTGTATATAAGTTTTTTGAAAACGCTGCTTCACTGTTACCTTGCCTTGTATGTCGGTGTCCCTCTAATTCAGTTGCTTTTATACCTTGTTCCACAGTGATGCCTGGAGACCTGAGTATGTTTTACCTTTAAATCTAATCATTTTACTATGATATGGTTTGAATTTGATCATCTTGGTTTAATTTTCCTGTCACTTGATGGGTCCTTTCGATGTGCCTCATTAGTAATCTGTCATTTTCATTTTTACAAATCAAGTCTCCTAGATTGTTCTCCCAAAAGCCTGATTCCTGTTTAGAGAAAAAATACTAAGAAAAACAAGAAATTACATATTGCATTACAATGTTTATTCAGCAAGTACAGAGATTCCCAAAAAAGTTAAAACAACGTAGAAAACAGCTCTGGTGTTGTAGGACCAGTGGGTTCTTCTGTGCAGTGTTAGACCGATGCACTGAGACGGCAGTTTGCACCAAAGAGTTTCATGATCACAGGGCAGCCAGGGGAAGAGACAGGAGTAGACCCTGAGATCCATCTCCTCAAGAACTTCTGCATTAAGGCTCCTAAGAGGATTGTGGAGGGTGAGGGGTTGGAAAATTAAGGTTGTTGATTGGTCAGGGGAAGGGGATGAAATCATTAGGATGTGGAAACTATTCTTCGTTGAGTCAGTTCCTCAATGGGGTCCTTCAGACCAGCTGACATCAGGAGTTTCAGTTTCATTGGTACACGGGATCTGAAAGAACATCCCAAACGGGAACGTGAACATCGTAATGCTCAGGTTCTTATCTACAGAACAGTTCAGGAGAACCGTAATCTACGCTCTGCCTGATTCTAGCACCACGAGTGCCAAACAACTGTGAGGGAGCAGGTCCAAGCGAAGGCCGCCCTCGAGAGTAATGCAGAATGTGCTGCGAGCTGGTTCATTTTTGCTTCTCCCCTTCCCTTCTTCCCTGATTCATTTTGTAAAATTTACAGGGACAGTTTCAATGGCTTCAACACAGTACTGCCAGGTAAGGACTTGAACCCAAGAGGTGGAAGTTGCAGTGAGCCTGAGAGGAGACCATCTCTCTCTCCCTTGCCTGTCCTCTGTTAGAAAAGGGGGAGGGGAGATAAAATAGCACAAAGTGAAGGTCAGTAGTCAGGCGAGACACTGACCCACCAGCCTGACCACAGCAGGGCCCAAGGACTGAAAAATAACCCCTCTCTCTGTATCTGGTGACTCTGCTATCTGCCAGCCTTGAAAGTGTTGCAAATGTTCTTCTTACTGCCCAAGGACCTTCTTTGAGTCAGGTACTCCCCGTCTGCACCAACTAGACCCGCCCGCTTAGAGATGCCTCTGTCACTAAGTGATTTACTGCCTTTGTTCAACTTCTGTAACTCTTCCCCTCCCACACACCGCATGTAAATTAGCAAATCAATGAAAGCCAAAGATTGTAATGTCAGATCTCCAGCCAGTGGGCAATGACGCAGTCTTACCTCTGCTTCCTCTTGAGTTGCGTGTCTTTAAAAAGGGAAAGAAACTGCTTTTCAGGGAGCTCAGCATCTTTTGGACACGAGCAAACTGATGCTCCACAGCTAGCTGAATAAAAGCCTCGTCCTTCCTCACTTCAGTATCTGGGGGTTTCTGTCACAGCTCCTCCTGCAACAAGCCACAATCAAGCCACTGCTACACTGCTCCATCTCAAAAAAAAAAAAAATCAGGACAACACGTGTGGACACACATTGCTAGGAATCCAGGGATTTACCTGGAGAATAGATGAAAGTAAGAAGAGTTTTACATCCCAGTATTCAGAACTGCAGTGACCTCCCAGAAACACTTGCCACTTTCCCAAAGATATACTGTGCTAAGTGACTCCAGGCATGAGCCACCGTGCCCGGCCCACTTCTCTATACTCTTCATACTTCTGTTCTGCAAAATTACACTACATCGGCTATCCTGTGTGTAGGGGCCTTGGCTATGGAGGCTTTTGACTGATTACAATGGGAACCCAAGTGATGGCCAATGCCGGGAACATAAGATATTCAGGAAATGATCTAATGATCTAGTGACCTTGCAGTTAGAGTCAAGAGCCCTTCCTGTAATCCCAGCACTTTGGGAGACCAAGGCAGGTGTATCGCCTGAGGTCACGAGTTTGAGACCAGCCTGGCAAACATGGTGAAACCCTGTCTCTACTAAAAATACAACAATTAGCCAGGCCTGGAGGCTCAGCCAGGCCTGTAATCCCAGCACTTTGGGAGGCCGAGGAGGGCGGATCACAAGGTCAACAGATTGAGACCATCCTGGTCAACATGGTTAAACCCCGTCTCTACTAAAAACACAAAAATTAGCTGGGCATGGTGGCGCATGCCTGTAATCCCAGTTTCTCAGAAGGCTGAGGCAGGAGAATTGCTTGAACCTGGGAAGTGGAGGTTGCAGTGAGCCGAGATCGTGCCATTGCACTCCAGCCTGGCACCTAACGACGAAGCGAGACTCTGTCTAAAAAAAAAAAAAAAGTATAGAGAAGTGAAACACAAAATTTGTTGCTTTCACCAGGAATTGAACCAGGGTCTACCACGCAGGAGGTGAGGATGCTACCACTGGATCACCACACAGCTTCTATGTGTGCTCCTGGAGGAAAAGCTGAAATACGATACTGAAAAAGACAGAACTTGCTCCAGAACCAACTTGTGGTATTGACTAAGAGCTAACAAAGACATCCTAAACCACGATTTTCATAGAAGACTTTTCTTTACTAGACAAAACTATAAATATTAAAATAGCTTATTTGTCTGATCAAACTCTAATTCCAAAAAAAGGCTCTTTCCAACTGTATAACAGACTCCTATAGACAAACATGTACATAATGAATAGACTGTAAAGGAGAACTCATGGGCCAGGGATGGTGGCTCATACCTGCAATTCCAGAACTTTGGGAGACAAAGAAAGGCAGATCACTCGAGGTCAGGAGCTTGAGACCAGCCTGGCCAACGTCGTGAAACCCAGTCTCTACTAAAAATATAAAAATTAGCCGAGTGTGGCAGCACAGCTGTAATTCCAGCTACTTGGGAACCTGAGGCAGAGGATCCCTTGAACCTGGGAGGCGGAGGTTGCGGTGAGCTGAGACCACAGTCTCCTCTCCAGCCTGGGTTACAGAGCGAGACTCCATCTCAAAAAAAAAAAAAAAAAAAGAAAAGGAAAAGCAATAACACATGATAGGGTAGTCGGTACAGTTAGGAGCAGTAACATAGAGGAGGAGTAATTAGAGTAGGCTGAAAAACATCCAAAGATCTTCTTGAACAAGATCCTGGAGAAATGTATGGAAATGAGTTGACTAAGGGAATAAGGACGCACGTGAGTAAATGCAGCGGCATGACCTGAATTCCCTTCCATCCTCTCCCCGTCGTCTTCTCCCACATCTCCTAAGCAACCTACAGAAATTTTAAAACACTGAATTTTTATCTAAATCTGATAGGGGACGGACAGGAAGAGAATTACTGATTACTCTTTCAGTCGGGATTCATCCTAGAAGTAATTGTTTGTAATTTATCAGAAATAAGTTCATTTGACTAAAGCAATAGCTTGGAAGTAACTAAAATGAAAAAGGAAATGTTTTAGAGAGTCTGGATTATATATGTGAATAAAAGAGAAATCACCTCACCCGCAAACTCACTGGTTTGAGGAAGTGAGGGCCCCACAGATCTGATATACAGATCCCATGCGTGAGTTTTCTGAACTGAACCAACCGCCATCTCTCTGCGCGAGATGGTATTCCTAACCAAAGCAGGGAAAATAACGGTATGAACGAGGAGGTCCTCGCATTCCCAGACTTCTGCTCTCATCTGTTTAATTCGTCATTGTAGAAACCAAGAGAAAGCTTCCCCTTCTACCCTCTGAAAGTTTGCTGAACATGGACTATTGACAAATTAATAATAAGAAAAAAGCATACAAAATTTATTAAACATGTGCAGCTCAGGGGAATCAACAGAGGATGGTTACCCAATAACCCAGTAAGGTCCGAACGCTTATACGCCCTTCCTCATAGGGAAAGGGGAGATGAAGGGTAGACCAGTAAGTGGTTTTCATGGGGAATGAATGAACACAAAGAACAATGATCCGGGACAAAGTTCCCATGAGCTCTGGGGTAGGTGGCCAGATGGTGAGGGGCAGAACTGTGAACAAAGCTTGTTTGGTTATGCAGATGAAGCCTCTCAGGAACGCTCTGAGCTGCACTTGGAGGAATACATGAAAGGCCTGTCAGGGCAAGGAGAGGACTCCTGGTTTCTTCTCTTGTGGTTAATCTTTCCTGGTTATTTGATGAGATTCCTGGGGAGGGGGTTTTAAGACAATTGCATTTCTATTTTATTTTATTCTTTTAGATGGAGTCTTGCTCTGTCGCCCAGGCTGCAGTGCAGTGATGCAATCTCAGTTCACTGCAACCTCCACCTCCCAGGTTCACGTGATTCTCCTGCCTCAGCCTCCCGAGTAGCTGGGATTACAGGCATGCGCCACCACACCCAGCTAATTTTTGTATTTTTAGTAGAGGTGGGGTTTCACCATGTTGGCCAGGCTGGTGTCGAACTCTTGGACTCAAGGGATCCGCCCACCTCAGTTTCCCAAAGTGTTGGGGTTACAGGCATGAGCCACCATGCCCGGCCGAAAATTTGCATGTCTTTTGGAAAGAATCTTTCTTAGATAGGAAAGCTCCATGGAGAGTCCCTGCTGGTGCTTCTGGAACATAAGAGGATGGGGGTGAGGTGTGGGTAAGGGCGGGGAGAGGTCACAGAAACTTACCTTGAGGCGGCTTCTTTAGTTCAGCAGGTCAAAGGGCCGTGTTTTGCGGAATCGTTTTCTGAGCCCCGGCAGCACCACAGGCCATAGTTCCTAAGACTGTAGAGACAGCACTGAAGACGCATGTTAGAGACACGGAAACAGTTCATCTCCGTCTGAGACAGCCTCCGCCTGGGCTTTATTGTCCGTATCACTGTCAGCATTTTGGTCTAAGCCGTTCAACAAGCCTCTAGGACGTTCCGAACTTCCCACCTCTTCCTGTCTTCTGGGTACCGTTTAGACGTCTCTGAAGAGAAAAGAGCCAAGACTTGGATCTAGAAGCCAGCGGTAGAATGGGAAAGACTCTAGTTCTAACTTAGAAACCACCTCAGTTCTCCCCGGGTTAGCATTTGTCATTGTTTATCCAGGCTGCTGCTAAGGGGTTCTAGTCGAGCCTCTGTGGCTCAGCAGTGGCACAAATGTAGCCACCCCCCTTCCTTCTAGGCTAATGTTCAAAAGGAAACCTTGCCACAAACTATGCATTGCACCTACCTTACAATGTCTTCATAGAGTCAGGTGAGGAGGGAGGCCAGAGGATCGTCTCAAATGCTAACAGTATCCTGAGCAGGGTCTTTCTTGAGCTCTACCCCAGCACTGTAAATTAGAGTTGTAAGAACTGCCTCCCCGTGTCCCTTTTGACCACAAGAAGCCTGTACTCACCCCCTGAAAAGCCAGAAGATGTACAATATCTGCTACTTCTACCAAATGCTAAGCCACTATGAGGATATAATGCTTTATTTTATCTTTATTTGTTCATTTGTTTAGAGACAGAGTCTTACTCTGTCCCCCAGGATGATGTGCAGTGGTGCAATCATGGCTCCCTGCAGCCTCAAACTCCTGGGCAAAGAGATCCTCCTGCCTCAGCCTCCCAAGTAGCTGAGATTATAGCCATGAGCCACCAGGTCAGAAATGCTTGCTTTCTTTTCTTCTTTCTTTCTTTCTTTCTTTCCTTATTTCCTTCCTTCTCTCTTTCTTTCTTTCTTCCTTCCTGCCTTCCTGCCTTTCTTTTGTGAGACAGAGTCTCGCTCTGTCACCCAGGCTGGAGCGCAGTAGCACAATCTCCGTTCACTGCAACCTCTGCCTCCCAGGTTCAAGCAATTATTCTGCTTCAGCCTTCTGAGTAGCTGAGACTACAGATGCATGCCACCAAGCCTGGCTAACTTTTGTATTTTTTAGTAGAGACGGGGTTTCACCATTGGCCAGGCTGGTCTTAAACTCCTGACCTCATGTTCCATCTGCCTTGGCCTTGCAAAGTGCTGGGATTACAGACATGAGCCACTGCACCCGGCCAACAGTGCTTCACTTCCTGACTCTCTCTCTCTCTACCCCCCTGCTGCAAAGGACTAATTTTCCTGAAAGACGACTTGACTTTGACTAATTTTAACCCCTTCCTCTTCCACATGATAAAGCTACTAATTGCATGACAGAGGATTGCTGAGTTACAAGTGTAGACGGAAGCCTATTCAAGGGCAATTAGCAATAATTCTGTTTCTGTTAAACTTTATAATTTTTCTGTCACTTCTGCACAGAACTAGACAGGGAGCTAGTTTGTGTCTCACTGCACTGAGGGATCTGTGGGGATCGCTCCCATGTGAGGCCCCTAGGAAATGGGCCTTGCCATACGATGAGCTTGAGCCCGGACACAGATCCCCGGTTGGGGAAGCCGAGCTGAGGGAAAGCAGGAACCAAGAGAGGCACTATGCTATTCAAAATAATTAACAGACATTACTTTATGGATATGAGTACTTGGGAAGCATTGTGTTCACTTTCGGCTCCTTATGATTTATTGCTTGATTGTGTTTATTTTGGACCCTTGTTACCTTCATTGTAAAATATTAACTTAAGTATTTACACTTGGTAACTTACCGTAACTTACTGGGTGTAACTGTAACTTACCATAACTTACTGGGCGTAACTGTAACTTGCTTACAATTGTTAAGTACTTACTGGGCATAACTTACTTGCTGGGCGTAACTTACTTACCGTAACATACTGGGCGTAACTGACTTACTGGGCTTAACTTACCAGGCATAACTTAGTGGGCACTTGCTTACTGTAACTTAAGTATGTTGATCTGGTGTAAACAACATTAACTTCAGAAAAGTATATAATGGAACATATCGCAAAAATAAAATTGCTGCTTGGGCATAGCCTAAGCCAGCCCTCCAGACTCCGCTTTTCTTTTTTCTTTCACTTCCGCGCACTCTCTCCCTCAGGTTGAACGAGACATCTACGTTGGCGGTCTCGGGGACTCCCGCAGGTCGGTAGCCCCCAGGCAGACGTGCCGGACCCCAACACTGCACCATTTACCAATGTTTTGACCCAGAGGAGGTAACCCGACCTCTTGTAGTTATATCTCAAGTACAAAATTGAGACAACAGTAAGATGTTCTCATCTGAGAAAAATGCTGAAACGTTGGAGTGTCCCAGGCTCATTCAGATGGATGGAAAACACACACACACATCCTCTCTCTCTCTCTCTCTCTCTCTCTCACACACACACACACACACACACACACACACACACACACACAATCTCTCTCTCTCTGTCTCTCTCTTACTCTGTCTTTCTGATAAGTTTTGTTTTCACTTCCTGCTAAGAATCAGTCTAGAGGTGACTGGAGGAAGAGAAACTAAGTTGTCGTGACAAAGCACAGGATGATGAGTAAGGATCAGTCTTACCCTTACAGACTGGACAACCCCCTAACAAACAAAATCACTGTGCAAAACCTTTCAGACAACGTGCGGTGGCTCACACTTTTAATCCCAGCACTTCAGGAGGCCAAGGCAGAAGGATCACTTGAGCCAACAGTTCAAGACCAGCCGGGGCAACATAAGAAGACCTTGACTCTATAAAAAACATAAAAATGAGCAGAGCGTGGTGGTGCATGCCTGTAGTCCCAGCTACTCAGGAGGCTGAGGTGGGAGGGTCGCTTGAGCACGAGAGGTCAATGTCGCAGTGAGCCATGATCATGCCACTGCACTCCAGCCTGAGGGACAGAGCAAAACCCTGTCTTTAAAAAATGTTTTTTCAAGGATTAGAACCACTGCACATGCTCCTTCTGATCCCCCAAAGTGTAAGATTTTCATACAAATAACTATCGCAGGACAGTCTTGCTGAGTCCACCAGTCCACAGCTACCCAAGCCCTAGGAGTTGCATGAGTTCAGAGCTTTTCAAGGTTCAGAGAAACTGATCTAACTCCCACAAAGCTTGATCACAGAGTGAAGGTTACCTATTGCCTGGATTATGTGCTGGAGGAACTGTAGGCAGGAGCATTAGCTACACCATTAGAGTGGAAGCTTCTGGTTGCTGGAGTATTACATTGTAAGACACTTCAGTCAAGTCACTACAGAGAAGCTTCTCACTACTACTTGAATCTGCTTCCTCCCATGGGTCTTTACAGGAAAATGATCGCCACCCTTATTCATTCACTAATCCCGAGAATATTGAGAGACAGAAGGAACTGTTTCACCGAGAGTAAAATTGTTAGAAATTCTGGATTCTGCTGTCATAAAGGAGGTCATTTGTCTTGTACATATGCCCAACGTTGAAAGAATTCGTAATATATGTGCACATTCAGCCATATGCGTGTGCACGGTTGCATGCACGTGCACACACACACACACACACACACACACACACTCCAGACAATCAGCATCTTCATAGATAGATTTCCCAGAGTTGAAATACTTTGAGGAAGGAGATGATAACATAGACGGCTACAGAAAGATATCTACACATTAGGAATCTACAACTGTTGGGGTCTGGCACGTCTGCCGGCGGGCTACCGACCTGCGGGAGTCCCCAAGACTACCAATGTAGATGTCTCATTCAACCTGAGGGAGAGAGTGCATGGAAGTGAAAGAAAAGAGAAAAGCAGAGTCTGGAGGGCTGGCTTAGGCTATGTCCAAGCAGCAATTTTATTTTTGCAATATGTTTCATTATATACTTTTCTGAAGTTAATGTTGTTTACACCAGATCAGCATACTTAAGTTACAGTAAGCAAGTTACACCCACTAAGTTACGCCCAGTAAGTAAATTAAGCCCAGTAAGTCAGTTACGCTCAGTAAGTTACAGTAAGTTACGCCCAGCAAGTAAGTTACGCCCAGTAAGTACTTAACAATTGTAAGCAAGTTACAGTTACGCCCAGTAAGTTATGGTAAGTTACAGTTACGCCCAGTAAGTAACGGTAAGTAAGTTACCAAGTGTAAATACTTAAGTTAATATTTTACAATGAAGGTAACAAGGGTCCAAAATGAACACAATCAAGCAATAAACCATAAGAAGCCGAAAGTGGATACAATGCTTCCCATGTCCTCATATCCATAAAGTAATGTCTGTTAATTATTTTGAATAACATAGTCCCTCTCTCAGTTCTTACTTTCCCTCAGCTCGACTTCCCCAACCGGGGATCTGTGTCCAGGCTCAAGCTCACCGTATGGCAAGGCCCATTTCCTAGGGGCCTCACACGGGAGCGAGCCCCACATACAACCATGAATTTTTGGTATTAATTCTGTTGCCACTGCCTACAACCTGAAAGTGGGGAATGAATTCTCCTCTAAAGATTTCATCCTGGTGGTTATTTTCATGCTTTCTCATATAAAACATGCATGGTACGCTGTTAGAAAAACTACTAAAAAATAGAAATACCATATTCACAAATAACTGTTTCTGTTATTTGTAACAGAAATATCACTAATCCAAACGTATGAGATACAGCTAAAGAGTAGTTAGAATAAAAAAGAGACTCTTACATTCCTATATTAGAAGTGAAGAAGGGTTAACATTAATAACCTAAGCATGGGACTTGAGAAATTAGAAAAAGGACAGAATAGAACCAAATAAAGGAAAAACAAGATAAAAATAAGAGCAAAAGTGACTAAAATAGAAATGCCAAGATACAATAAATAGAATCTGCAAAGTCTAAGGTTGATTCTTTAAAAAGACTAATAACTGGCTGGTCATGATGGCTCATGCCTGTAATCCCAGCACTTTGGGAGACTGAGGGGGACAGATCACCTGAAGTTGGGAGTTCGAGACCAGCCTGGCCAACATGGTGAAACCCTATCTCTACTAAAAACACAAACTTAGCTGGGCATGGTAGCAGGTGCCTGTAATCCCAGCTACTTGAGAAACTGAGGCAGGAGAATTGCTTGAACCTGTGAGGCAGAGGTTGCAGTGAGCCGAGATTGTGCCATTGCACTTCAGCCTGGGTGACAGAGCTAGACTCTGCCACAAAAAAAAAAAAAAAAAAAAGAATAATAACTTTGAAAAGCTTCTGGTGAAATTTACAAATGCACATTTAAAAATCTTAAGTACAAGACATTAACAAACCAAATCCATCAATATCTTATATAATAAATCATGTTGAAATTAGATTTACTTGGGAATTTAAGAGTTCTTTAACAGCAAGAATCTAAAAATGTAATTAGCCACATTAATAAATTTAAAGAGTAAAACTATATAATGATCTCAATTTATAGAGAATAGGCATTCAATAAAATTAACACCCATTTATGATTTAGGAAACTAAGAAATAAGACATAATTTTTTCCTGAAAAAAAAAATGTCTACCAAAATCCTACAGAAAATCACCATATAGGTGTTGGAAAGAATAAATTTATTTATTTATTTATTCATTCATTCATTCATTCATTTTGAGACAGAGTCTCACTGTGTCACCCAGGCTGGAGTGCAGTGACCACTGCAACTCCCACTTCCTGCGTTCAAGCGATTCTCCTGCCTCAGCCTTCTGAGTAGCTAGGATTACCTCCACACCCGGCTAATGTTTGTATTTTTAGTAGAGATGGGTTTCACCATGTTGGCAAGGGTGCTTTCCAATCCCTGACCTCAGGTGATCCACCTGCCTCAGCCTTCCAAAGGGCTAGGATTACAGGCATGAGCCACCATGCCCAGCCAAAAGGAAGAAATGTAAAGCTCTAAACATTTGCAGAAAATAGGTGCAAAGAAGACACAAAAATTTTGTAAAATAATCTAAAAAAATTTTTAAAGACTTTAGTAAGGTATCTGGATATAGAATCAATTCTCCCTAAATCAGCTGTGTTTCCATCATATCATAAACAAACATTTAGACTTGAATTAGCAAAGACACACACACACACACACACACACCCTAGAAATCCTGCAAGATTTACACAGGGCATTTATGAAGAAAACAATGCAAATTATGGGAAGTTATTAAGAAAGACCAAATAATTGACTAGAAATACTTCGTTTATGGTTTGGAAGACTCAATGTCATAAAGTATAAATCCTCTTCACATTTGTTACATATTCAGTGTAAATCTGATCTAAATCCCAACAAATATTAAGAAATCTGACAACTTGATTCAATGTGTACATTAATGAGCAAAAATCCAAGAAAAACTATGAAAATCCTGAGAGGAATAAGGAGACTGCACTACCGTATATAAATATGTATTATAAAGCTGTAGTATTAACACAATGTGGTACTGAGACAAAGACAAGCAAATTGCTGGTGAAATAGCATAAGCTAGAAAGAGAAACACACATATGTGAAACTTTGTGATAGAACTGTCAGTTCGTATCAAAAAGAGGATGATCAGGTTTTTTAAACGGTACTGGGACAACTGGTTATACATATGGGGAAAAAAAGAAATTAGATACTTGCCTCATATCACCTACAGATATGGATTTAAAACTTAAATGTAAAAGGCAAAACTCTAATACTTTTAGAAGAAAATCCTTTGGAATCAGCAAAGATTTCATAAGCAAGGCAAAATACCAATCATAAAATAAAATACTGACAAATTAAAGCACATCAAAATTAAGAACTTTTATATGTGAAAAGGCAACAAAAAGTCAGATGAGTTGCAAATCAGGAAAAACTAATTTCAACAGAAGTAAGCCATGAGGGTGTATATCAGGCTAAATTTTTACACCTTTATAAACCAATAAGAAGACAAAAGTGTATACAATGAACAAAATAAAAGCCACAAACAGATATTTCATGGAAGGAACTACATAAGTGGTAAATTAACATGAAAAAGCTGTCAACTTCATTAGTAATCAGGGAAATCTAAACTAAGACTACTATGGAGTACTATTTTATAACTACAAAAATGGAGATGGGGATTAACAAGTCTTCTTGTAGTATATAAACCAAAAATAAAACTCTAAGGCCCTCCAAGCATCTGAATGGCCTCTTGGCCAAGGGCATTCCAAAGTTAACCCGAAACACTAGTTCAGGCCATGATGGGAAGGGAGAGCTGAACATGCCTCATCATATCCTCCTCCCCTTAAAACTTACTGATAGAACAGACTCTTTAAGTCTGATAAAAAAACATTTACAATCTACTCTCTCTCTGAAGTCTGCTCCTTGGACACCTGGAGGCTCCATCCAGGATAAAACCTTGGTGTCCAAAAGCTCTTATCACAAGCCAGACATTCCTTTCTATTGATAATAACCAATTGCCAATAAGAAAATCTCTGAATCTGTCTGTGACTTGGAAGCCACCCCACCCCTGCCTGCTACTTCCAGCTGTTCTGCCTTTCCAAACTGAATTGATATACATTTTACATGTATTGATTGATGCCTTATGTCTCCATAAAATGTATAAAACCAAGGTGCATCCTGACCATCTTGGGTGCATGTTCTCAGGATCTCCTGAGGGCTGTGTCATGGGCCATTGTTCACTCATATTTGGTTCAAAATAAATCTCCAAAATTTTACAGAGTTTGACTCTTTTTGTTGACAACTACTAAATGTTGACAAAGAATTTAATGACATACAAATCCTCATATCCTATTAATGGCAGGGCAAAGTAGTATAGCCATGTAGAAATTACTTGGCATCACCTTATAAAATTAAACATTTACACATCTATAACATCTTTTTTCTTTTAGTACTTTTTAAAGATTTTGCAGCCACATTGTCTTCTCACTTGCATTATTTCCAGCAAGAAATCTGATGTTGTCTTTGTTTCTCTGTGTGTAACATGTCTTTTTTTCCTCTGATCACTTTTGAGATTTTATCTTCATCACAAATTTTCAATAATTTGATTATTATATCCTCATGCTGTTTTCTTCATGGTTTTTGTTGTTTGGGGGGTGTTTTGACTTATTTTTGTGCTTGTGGTTTATTGAGAATCTTGGATTTGTAAATTTATAGTGTAGGGCAAAAAAAAAAAAAAATTTTTCTTCTATCCTGAATTCTCAGCTAGGACCTTAATAAACCTTAATAACAAAAGACAGATTAACAAGAGCAAAACAGATACTCAGGGAAAAATGAATAACTCTCAAAGAGATGGCCTAGAATTTTCACTTATGTAGCATCTTCAACTAAAAGAAAGAACAGTGTTGGGAAAGCCAGTTTTGGGAAAATGTTCAGGAAAAGCAAACAAGAGTAAGGTATATTATGCAGATTTAAATTGGTACCTTCTACCTCGATAAAAAACTTTGTGATTTAGTCCTCCTTCTTTTCCTAGCACAAAGAGGGTGATAGCCTTACAAATGGAGATTTCCTTTAAAAATGTAAATTTCCAGCCACTATGGTGGCTCACCCCTGTAGTCACAGACCTTTGGGAGGCTGAGGTGGGCAGATCACCTGAGGTCAGGAGTTCCAGACCAGCCTGACCAACATGATGAAAGCCCACCTCTACTAAAAATACAAAAATTAGCCAGGTGTGGTGGCACATGCCTGCAATCCCAGCTACTTGGGAAGCTGAGGCAGGAGAATCACTTGAACCTGAGTGGCAGAGGTTGCACCAATGAGCTGAGATCACACCACTGCACTCCAGCCTGGACGACAGAGCAAGACTCTTTCTCAAAAAAAAAGGTAAATTTCCCTTACAGAAGAGTAACTTCTACTGTGTTTTTAGAATTCTCCAGTGTCTACTGTTTTTCAAAATAATCAGCTCAAAATAATCCTTATGCCAAAAAGTCATATTTTAGGGTGGCACATTCTTGTCTCCTACAAGTTTTCATCAAGTGTGAAAACTTTTTGGCCATTCTTTGTTGAAATATTTTTTCTATCTGTTACCAGAAAGGTGTCCTAATCCAGACCCCAAGAGAGGGTTCTTGGATCTCATGCAAGGAAGAATTTGGGGTGAGTTCGTAAAGTGAAAGCAAGTTTATTTAAGAAAGTAAAGGAATAAAGAATGGCTACTCCATAGGCAGATCAGCCCCAAGGGCTGCTGGTTGCTATTTTTGTGGTTATTTCTTGATCATTTGCTAAACAAAGGGTGGATTATTCATGAGTTTTCCAGGAATGGTGAGTAATTCCAGGAACTGACAGTTGTTCCCCTTTTTAGACCATATAGTATAATTTTCTGAGGTTGCCATGGCATTTGTAAACTGTCATGGTGTTCATGGGCATGTCTTTTAACATGCTAATGCATTATAATTAGCATATAATGAGCAGTGAGGACGATTAAAGGTCACTTTCATCACCATCTTGGTTTTGGTGGGCTTTGGCCAGCTTCTTTACCGTATTGTTTTATCAGCAAGGTCTTTGTGACCTGTACCTTGTGCTGACCTCCTATCTCATCCTGTGACTAAGAATGCCTTAACCTCCTGGGAAGGCAGCCCAGTAGGTCTCAGCCTTATTTTTCCCCACGCCTATTCAAGATGGTGTTGCTCTGCTTCAAACGCCTCTGACATGTCCACCTCCCTCTTCTTTGCAAGGACTCCAATTACACGTATATTAGGCCACTTGAAGTTGTCCCACACCTCACTGATGCTCTTTTCAGTTTCTTTTTGGATTGTTTCTATTGTTCTGGCTTTGTGTTCATTCGTCTTTCTTCTGTGATCTAACGTGCTCTTAATCTCAGCCAGCATACTGATTTCCATCTCTAGAAGTTTGATTTTAGTCCTTTTCTATTTTCCATGTCTTAACTGAGGTAAGACCCTTCTGGGTTCTCTATCACATGCCTTGCAAATTGTGCTCTCCTTTTTTGGCAAGTGGCACTTTTTCCAGCCCTGTGTGAGCCCTGGGTACTGTTCCAGCTAATGTTTTCAAGTGGTCCTTTCCTGGGGAAGTTTTTTCACACACACGCACCTGTGAAATAAAAAAGAAGAAACTTTTGATCTGAGGAATGTGAGCCCCTTTAAAGTATCAGGCTCAGAGAGGTATTGGAAGGAAACTGCCGTCACATCACTTCCCCTTGAGCTAAATAATTCTCTCTTAAATTATTAACTCTCTTAAATTATTTATTCCCCGCTTGCTATACGGGCTCCAGACTGATGCCAAGCAGCCATAAAATGCCATATGCGGGACACCATGACTCATACCCTATAGTTCAACCATGTATAGCCAATAAC